TTCTGGCGTAACAGTTCCCACATGGGGCTTAATCCTCCTCAATCTGTCCAACGAAAACCTCCCAGTAACTGCCTCCTAATTCGCAGGCCTAGAGGTTGACACCAACACCGAGATCGGCGGTGTGCCTCCACCGAGGGAAGACGATCCCGATCTCGGTGATGGTGGTCATATTTTGGCTCCCACGGTGGCCGAAATGTTACCACCAGCACCGAACTCTAGGATCATCTTCCCCATGTGGAGGCCCCCCCCTGTGCTGGTGTTGGTGCTAATTTCCAGGCCTCCTACTAATCGGCATCACCCCAACATACTTATACTGTATGTGCGTCGCCACCCCAGGGGCGACGCGCGCACCGAGAAATCTTAGAGTATATGCGTCGTGGCGTGCGCTTTCTGGCCACACCGCTCGGGAAACGATATACTACAAGATGGGTATACTATATGTTTGGGTCGGACGCGCGCCTCCAAGGAGGACATATAGTATTAGTATGTCTCTGTGCGTCCCATACTAACGTCCATCCTCGAAGGACGCCCCCGAGAGGAGCGGCGCCTTGGGACGGGGCCGTGGAGAGTGGTCCCGGCGCCGGCGCCTGGGCAGGCGGCCCCGCCCCCGGGCGTCCCCGGCGCTTCGCGCCGCCTCGGAGCCGCCAGGGGGCCCTCCTCCTCCTCCTCCTCCTGCTCCTCCTCCTCCTCTCCTCCCTCCTCCTCCTCTCCTCCTCTCCTCCTCTCACTCCTCCTCCTCCTCCTCCTCCTCTTTCTCCTCCTCTTCCTCCTCCTGCTCCTCCTCCTCCTCTTCCTCCATCCTCCTCCTCCTCCTCCTCCTCCTCCTCCTCCTCTTTCTCCGCCTCCTCCTCCTCCTGCTCCTCCTCCTCCTCTTCCTCCATCCTCCTCCTCCTCCTCCTCCTCCTCCTCCTCCTCCTCCTGGAAAAGGTCCCCCTACCGCCACCCTTCACTCGTGTGCCCCTTCGTTGGGCCTCCTGGGAGGCCCTCGTCGCCATCGCTGGATTCACATCGAAGTTCTGGTCAGAACCCACCCCAGGAGAGCTTCGGGGAGCAGTGGTATGTCGGTACCCTTTGGCCTCCCCACCCCAGGGCTTCGCCAGGGGCCCAGGCGCCTCAGGCTTCCTGAAAATTGGGTCCGCGCAGGTGTGGATGGAGGATCGCGCCGCATCTCTTGCTCCTCCTGCTCCTCCTGCTCCTCCTGCTCCTCCTGCTCCTCCTGCTCCTCCTCCTCCTCCTCCTCCTCCTCCTCATCTTCCTCCTCCTTCCTCCCCCGCCCTCCTTTTCCACCTCCTCCTCCTCCTCCTCCTTTCTTCTTCTCCTCCTCCTCCTCCTCCTCCTCCTCCTCCTCCTCCTCCTCCTCCTCCATCCTCCGCCCCACCGTCGTCACACCCTGCCTCTCGCCCTCGTCCCCTTCTTGGCCTCGCCGCTGCCCACCCTGGAAACGGCGATGCGGCTCGAGGTGGATCCCGATTTTCTCCACGCCGCTGGCGTCGATGCATCGCAAACGACAAGGAGGAAAATTCAAGAATAGTCAAACAATAGTCAAGGGACGATTTTTGTTGTCGACTTTTGACCATGTTTGAATATTCTGACTAGGTTTCGTTTCTCGTCCAAAGCCCCCCTGTAGGAGGACACGCCCGACCTGACGCAAACGTCGTTGGTGCATCGCCAATACATCGGCGATGCATCGCTGATGCATCGGCGATGCGGCGGGATCCTTCGACCCCATCTGCTCCGATCCCATCTGGGAGGCCTTTGCAGACGTCCTCCGAAATCTGGTACGGTCGAAGTGTGTACGGAAGGAATGGGTATGAAGACCGACAGCAGTGCTTGTCCATGTTGAACAGGGTTCGCAGCCAGTGTCGTTGCGGACTTTGTCCATTCGAGACAGAAGGCCGCCTGTCCAACAGCGACTGCTGTCGGTTTTGGACAACACTTTTGTCGGGCATCGTACCCCTTCTTTCAGTGCCCACTTCGGATGTCCACAGAATTTATTTTCACCCCACGGCCCCAGCATTCCCGACCTTTTTCCTGTGGCTAGCTTGGCGGCCCCGATCCATTGTTTTTCGCTCTGGGCCGCGATGACAGGGCCCAGATGCCGAAATCGAGGAGAAACGCGCAGATTGGTCAAGTCATGGTGAATTGTGACTTTTGTCCCTTTTGGTGGGGCGGTGCCGTGTCCGAGGTGCCCTGGCGGGATGTCGCCCCCCTTCAGGGACCTGCAACCAAAGCGTCCTGATCGGCACCGCACCCCGCCAGTCTTTCGCCACTGCTTGTGTGGACGCTTCGAGCCGCCTCGTGTGGGAGCATACTGTTTGGGATTGCTCATTCGAAGCGTGGATTGCACAACAAAACATAACAAGTCATATCGTCGGAGATCCCCTCCTCCTCCTCCACTTCCTCCCTCCTCCTCCACCCTCCTCCTCCATCCTCCTCCTCCTCCTCCTCCTCCTCCTCCTCCTCCTCCTCCTTCTCCTTCTCCTCCTCCTCCTCTTCCTCCATCCTCCTTCCCTCCTCCCCTCCTCCATCCGCCTCCTCCTCCTCCATCCTCTTCCCTCCTCCCTCCTCCTCCATCCTCCTCCTCCTCCTCCTCCTCCTCCTCCTCCTCCTCCTCCTCCATCCTCTTCCTCCATCCTCCTCCTCCATCCTCCTCCTCCATCCTCCTCCTCCTTCTCCTCCCCCTCCTCCCTCCTCCTCGGAGGTGCCCTGGGAGTCGCCCGGCGCCTCCCCGGGCGGCCCGCTGGGGCCGACCCTCGGGCCAGGGCGTCCTCCCTGTACGGCCCGCAGGTGCGCTGCGCCGCGCTCGGGCGCGCCTTGATCGACTGAACGTAGGAGTGACCTTTCGCCAGAGTGACCTTTGGTGCTGGGACAGATGGGTCCCCAGATGGCTGAAAACGAAGCAGGAGCAGCGGCTTGCGCGCCCAGGCTTGGTCCCCCCGCGGCCCCCCAAAAAGCCGCGCACCGAAGGTCACTCTTACCCAGGGTCACTCTTGCGTGTAGCCGACTTGATCCTCTCGGCGCCCACGGCCCTCGTCGACCCTCAGAGGAGGAAGAGGTATCCATACCGCTACCTTCGAGTCGGGCACGTCCATCTACAGGAGGAATATTCAGAAACAGTCAGGACATAGTGTGGGGACGTTTTTTTACGACTATTTCCGACTATTTTGGGCATTCTTTGACTACTTCTCATTTTTCGTCCAAACTCCGCCTGTAGGAAAGCGTGCCCGACCTAACGCGACCTTTCCCTGGTTTTCCCCCTTTTTTCGGTCTCCAGGGAGGCCCTCGTCGCCACCGCCGGATTCGCTTCGAGATCCTGGTCAGCACGCGCCCCGGGAGAGGTCTGGGGAGCAGCGGCATCGGTGCCTTTGGTGTCTCCAGATCCAGGAATGGTCCGGTGCACAGTTTTGGTTCGCCCCTCGCAGCGTCGAAGGGCCACGAGCGGTCCAAGGCCCCCTCGCGTCGAGAAGAGATCACGACGGGAAGTATGTTGGTGTACTTTCGGCCTCTTGGGGCCCTCATGGGGCCCCAGGGCTGTCAAGAAACAGCGCGGGATGAAACGCTGGTCATGGAGATGGGGTTGCTGAACCCCAGCGTCATTCCCTCGGGTGCTGCTGAACCCTGATTTCCTCGCGCCGGGACAAGACCACGACGGGATGCCAATTCGACATTGCTCGGCCTCGTGGGGCCAGGACCGGGCTCCCAGAGGCCGTTCAGCATGTGTTCGGGATGAAGATTCGGTATTGGGTGGCCACGTTCTTAAAAAAAACACGACGTCGGGGTTCTGGGGTGCCGCGTCGGAGTTGTGCCTGAGGGGAGGGGGTCCACACGCGTCGCGGTGCGTGGGCGCTGGTTCTCGTAATGTGAGTTCGATACTAAGGAATAAGGACCTCCCCCGGCCTCTCTTTCAGGGGGGGGAGCAGCACGTCTGGCTGCAAGAGATTGCGAAGGCCTTACGGCCGGTGCCGCCGACCCTGAATGGCGACGACGACGACGACGACGACGAGCGCTCTTGGGGGCGACGGAGGCGACGACCGACGGAGACGACGACTCGAACAGCCAAGCCCCTCGCACACGCCGACAGGGTCGGCGGATTCATTATTCTTCCCCCTCGGTTGCGGCGGCTGCGGAGCTGCTGCGTTTCATCCTTTTGCTGCTTGCTATGGCTCGCATGACGTCGAGGGACGTGGCTCCGGCGATCTTCGGCCGCTCTGTTCTTGGCCCAAGCGTTTTTTTTTTTTTGTTTTTGTGATTGTAGGTTCTGCATTTGATTTGGTATGCTGTATATGTAGCGCTCCGCAGTTGCGGATGAGAGTAAGGGGGTGAGGGAGGGGCGGGTCGCGGGTGCGTCGCGGGGTGGGTCGCGGGTGGGTCGCGGACGCGGGTGGGTCCTGGGTGGGTCGCGGTTTGGTTGCGGGTGGGTTGCGGGTGGGTCGCGGGTGGATCCGGGCGGGTCACGGGTATGTCGCGGTTGGGTCGCTTTTGGGTCGCGGGCGGGTCGCGGTTGGCTCGCGGGCTGGGTCGCGAGTGGGACGACGACAACAACAAACACGCAAACACCCATTTGAAACAACAACATCAACAACAACAACATCAACAGCAACAACAACACCAACAACAGCACCAACAACAACACCAACAACAACAACTACAACAACACAATAGCAACAACAGCGCACCACCACCACCAACAACACCAACAGCACCAACAACAACACCACACCACCAACAACATAAGCAACAACAGCAAGATCAACAGCAATGGCAACAGCAACAACCTCACCAACAACAACAGCAACAACACCACCAACAACAACAACGCAACAACAATCCGCACCGCGGAACACCACTTCAGCCACCGACCCAGGGACAGTGAATGACCGTTCGCACCCCTCACTCTGATGCGTGCATCGTTGATTCAGAGGTGTCAGTTTTCAGTAGACAAGTATCTGCTTCGTGGGCTCACATGGTGGATCCCTCTGGCAGCACCCGATGCTTCCGAGGATATCCAGAGGCACCAGATCGACCAGATCCACGAGAAGCGGGAGGCCAGGAAGGCGCCCCCGCCCCTTTGCGGGGGGCATTGGCGTGGCCGAGCCGGGAGGCAGGGGCACGGAGACGGGAGAGTCGGAGCCGGGAGGCAGGAGGCAGGAGGCGAAGCCAGGAGGCAGGAGCCCGGAGACGGGAGGCGGGGCATGGCGTGGCTGAGCCAGGAGCCAGGAGGCAGGAGGGACAATGACTTTGGAGAGGAGCTGCTCCGCACCCTCCTGGCGCACAGTCAGGAGCAGGAGAAGCGGTGATCGTAGAACTCACCGAGGTGTCCTGCGAGATGCCCCTCCGCGCAAGCGGGCTGCCCCCCATCCGTGTTTCTGCTGCAAAGATTTGCATGTACACCTGTGGTCGTGTGTGTCGAGGGAGCCTCAAGCGAGAGCTCCACTGGGACAATGAGCCGCCCTCGATCCGTGCAGCGCTACATGTGCTGAAGCTTCGTTTTTTCCGCGTGGAGGGAGCTTCAAGCACGAGCCCCCCCCCCGCCATCCTCTCAAGTGTTGCAGGCTCCGAAGAATCCAATGCGCGCGGCGCTACGGCGGGAGCCCCCCTTTGTGCACGACCCGTGCTCCATCCATGGAGCTGCTGCGAGCTTTCGGCGCGAGCCTGCGCGGCGCGAAGGTGAGAAGACTGCACCGAGAAGGAGCCGCCCTCAAGTTTTACGCTCGCCGCCGAGGCAAATGCGCGCGGCAAAACTCGAGAGCCCCATTCTGAAAACGCCCCCCCTCCATCTTTGAACCTGATACAGCTTGTTTGAACGAGTGCTTGCGGCGCTAGGGCGAGAGCAGCATTTTGAAAAGGAGCCGCCGCCCATCTCTGACGCCGTTGCAGACTTTTAAGGCGCATGTGCGCGGCACGAAGGCGAGATCCACAATTTGAAAGGGACCCCTTCAATCCCTGAAGCTGTTGCACACTCTTGAGAGGAATGTGCGCGGCGCTACGGCGATAGCCACGTACATGTTGGAAAGGAGCCGCCCTCCATCCTGCAGGCTGCTGCGAACTCTTGATGAAACGAGTGTGCTCGGCGCGAAGGCGAGATCAACATGTGGGAAGCGACCCGCCCCCTATCTTCGAAACGCTTTCACACTTTCAGGACGGAGTGCGCGCGGCGCTGGAACTTGTGGGTCATAGATGGTGAGGAAGGCTCCAGTAAAACGCTTGGCCATCCCTATCGACATGTTTGGGGGTGGGGACAGGGATGAGGAGGTCAGCGATGGCGTTCGATCGCAACCATATGGGACCCATCGCAGCTACTTGACACCGATCGCAACCAGTTGTGATCGGTCCCTTCTGGCAGCGACCACATCGGAGTCGTTCAATACGTGGCGTGACTGTGGACTGCGCTGCCCAACGACGGTTCAGGATACAGCAAAATGCATTACGTGGGCGTTTCGGAAATGCCACTGCGATCCCAACGGTCAACATCGGACTGCCGCCTCGATCGTTTGCGCTGGTGATCAGTCAGCGAACACAGCAGGGGTCGCTCTCGAGACACAGCAGACATGACACAACCGTGTTTGAGCCACGGAGCCTTCGCAGCCATGCCCAGGGAAGTTTCAACGCCGCTTCAGCTTGGCTGCACATGCCGACGTGCAGCAATCACCATGCGGGTGACATGTGGACGACGTGACACCGTGGCACGCTCGCACAATCTCCCAAGTGAACAGCCCATCAGAGCAGTCAAATATTAAGGCCAGCCAATTTTTTGACACGTTTCAGCGAAGATGCTTTTCAGAAACCTCCCAGACACATGTCTGAAGCTCCCGAGAAGCTTGTTTAACGCGAAAGCCCCTGGGACATTTTTGGAAGCCCTTCGGCAGCATCTCTGGAGCCTCTGAGAGGCCTGTTTGAAGCACCCCTTAGGTTTCTCAGAAGCCCCCAGTCAGCATCTGATGGGCATTTTCAAATCCACTCCTTCGGATCCTCTCCTGGGCCTCTCGAGAGGTCGCTTTGAGGTTTTCAATCGGCCGCTCCGAAGCCCTCCATGGGCAGCTTCGAAGTGGGAGGAGGAAAAGGTACTCCGGATTCCATACTAAAGTCGGGGGGGTCACATTTGGGGGGGGGTCTGATTTGAGCTGTCTTGGAGGGTTCGGGGGGGTCTGGGCAAAGGGTCGTCCTTTCATGGATGGTCTGGGTGGGTCTAAAACTTCCCGTCTGGGAGGGTTGTGAACCCCTCTCTTTTATTACGAAATCTGGAGTACCGAGCTACCCTTGGCTCGTTTTCCTCATCTGGGGCCTCCTGGGAGGCCCTCGTCGCCACGACCGGATCCGCTTCTCCTGGTCAGGACGCGCTCGTGGGGAGGTCTGGGCTCGGCATCGCTCGGACGTGTGCATTTTTCCTTCGGCGAGGACCAGCGAGGAATATCCTTGATCATTTGGCGAACAAGCCACATAGCGGCATTTGGACCTTCTTGTTTCGCTACTGAAGGGTGCCTTTCAGAGATGTGAATGGGCACGGCGCAATCGACTTTGACCAGGTTACAATACGATTTTTCGGGTGGTTGCAGCCAGTGCCAAAGTTTTCGTATACAGGCCGAAGTGGTGGTAATCGGCTTCGTCCCCGAAGCGAAGGAGGAGGTCCTCAGCGATGAAGGAAGCGTCCAGTGACCAAGCGCCTCTCAGCTGAGAGAGAAACTGCACTGCTGGGCATCCAGCTCATCAACAACGCACAGTTCACAAGCACGCGACGTCGCCAGCACACAGATCAGAACCCTGAAGCGGAGACTGTGGCCTGTGCGTTCAGACTGCCAGAGGACGGCGAAGAGAAGCGAAGCGAAGCGGGCCCGAGAGGCATCAGGAGTCAGAGCGGCCCTAATACCAGAGGCTGAGACAGGAGCACACCCCAAACCAGACTACCTCCGCTAGCGTTAAGTCGGGCCTGTCCCTCTGCAGGAGGAATATTCAGAAATAGTCACAACATGATGTGGGGACGTTTTCGTGAGCATCTTGTGGGCCATCTTGGTGTTTTTTTTTGAGTAGGTTTAATTCTTCACTCAAAATCCGCCTGTAGAGGGACATTCCCGATCTCACGCTACGGTAGAGGGAAACAATTAGTACCCCCCCCCCTGCCCCCCAAACTCAAAGTTGGCACGCGCGGGGGAGACTGCGGTCGAGGTGCAACTCATCAGACCCACCGCCAACTTTGAACATTCGGGGGAGGGGGAGGCGTTGACAGATGAATGTGGCACGAGTGCTCGCCATTTTTTTCCGAGGCCTGTAGCACCTCCCCAGGCGGGGCACGAAGCCGCCCGCTCGGAGGGGCGCCAACGGCAGGGTGAGGGCTGCATGCCTGCAGCGCGCCTCGGGTCAGCCTCGATGCCGACCGCCATCGCCTAAGCCGCGAGCGCAAGGGCCTGGAGGTATTCCAAATCCCGCCTTAATCGTCCCCCGGGTCCGGTTGTTACGGCGCCTTTTTTGTTATTGGGGGGGTCCGGTTTGTTAGGGTGCTTTCTTTGGATTGGAGCTCAGGGGGTCCGGTTTATTAAGGCGCCCCGTCGAAGAGGGGGGTCCAGAATATTAGGTCGCATTTGGAGGTGGGTCGGTTTTTTAGGGGGGGGTCGATTAATAAGGGATTTGGAGTTGGCAGTGACAAGGTTCGAGCTCGGGCTATGGCCGAAGTCGCAGCACAAGGAAAGACCTAAAGGGACGCGGTAGTGCGCCCAAAGCTCGATAAGGCCGTCGAAGCACACCAGGTCACACACGAACATGGAAAGGCTCAGGCCGCCGATTATGCAGTCGTCAGCGACGTGCTACTTCCCCACAAACTATGGGCGGCATCCGCTCAGGCCAAATAGAGCTGGATCCTGGCAATGCCTCCTGCCCAGAGTCGATCAGATGCCTGAGAACGACGAAGTCCAGCACTCAGGCTCTCTGCCCCCTGGGTCGGGGAACGGTGGCGACGTGAGCTCCAAGAGCAGAAACACGATGCCACCGGCACCGCCGACCGTGCGCCCTAGTCAGATTCGTCTGGCTCGTCATCGTCTTCCTCAGGCATCCACCCAAGGTCTACAGCCCCACTGCATAATTCAAATCATACGCCTCACATATATTGGTCGTGTTCAGCAAACGGCTCGTCGTCTGCGGCCCACCAGTACCGCTCGGCCTTGGGCGCGATACCTTGTCAGCCTGACTGGCTGCACAGAAACTATCTTTGACAAAGGCGCTTGGAGATCGGGAATTTTCGAGTCTCACGGCCTTTTTTGCTGCTGGCTGGGTGCTTCATATTAACGAAATGTCTCGTGCTCTCTACCTTTTTACCACTACTGCTTCGGCAAATGCATGCTCCAGTCAACCACGGTGGTACTTCGAGTCTGTGGCGAATTACTGACAGCAAAGGGTATAGTACAGTAACATCTGATACGAGTCCACTATGGGGAACTCCAAGACACAAGGTCCTGCACTCTTCCACGGTTGCATGACTGCGTCATCTTCTTCAGCAGCAGCAATAGCCGCCAACGGAGGTTCGCCTGACTCAGCTGGCTGATCTTGGTCGTCCTGGGTCTTCTCAGGAAAGTGGTAGTCGGGCTCGTCGCCACGAGTCATATAGAACCTCCGGAAAATTCCCAATGTACTACAGTAAAGCCAAGTGCATTCTCCGACAGCCACGCACAAAGCTGATGTGATCATCTGGTAGGTTCACCGCTGCACCACGCTTGGCCAGCATGTCTGGCGTCTCATGTCCAGTCTTCGGAAATTGTGATACCGCCCGTCGAGGACGTCCGTCATCGAAACACGACTCTTGACGTGCACGAAGCTATGAGATTTGATCTTCTCATTCATGGCCGTCACCTGCTTCCACAGGATAGCTTTCATGTTGTGTGCTTCACCTGCTTTGGGAAGGTTCCGACAGTATGCCAGCGTCGCTTTGAAGTCGGCGTTGATGGTGTAGGTCCCGAGGATCACCTTACTGAACACAATCACTGCGAAGTCCTGTACATCCTGGATTATTGCTGACGGGCACATCTGCAGTGACACCGACCCGTGGTATCTCGCAACCAATCTCCTTTCCGAGTCGTAGGCCACAATCGCCCCACCAGCACACAGCACGTACGGAATGTTGGTCAGAAAATCCACTGCCGTCGGTGGAGGCAACACTATTTTCTAAAATACTGATACCCTTGCGGTCCATGTCAATGAGATTGTGATTTGTGTTCCTGCCCAGATGCGCGAAGGCTTGAGACAGGGTCAGATACGGGCCCCCCAGAGAACAGCTGCCGAGCAATCTTCGACCTGTCTCCGATTCTCCCGATGGTGCCCTCGAGGCTCTCGGGGAGCCACGTCTGCCTGATGTGCGGAGCGCGTCGCAGTATCCTATGGAATAGGGTCCCCTTGGCAGCAGCGCGCCGAAGGAGCTCCTCAGGTTTGCCCCGTGAAGGCCCCGCGGACCCCGTGCTGGCACCGACGGGCCCCCGTGCAGAGAGCCCCTTGCGAGACCTCCTGCTCCTGGCTGCCGGGTCGCCCCTGTGGGAGTGCGGGCCCGTGTTGAGCTCGACCCAGGAGAGGGGCCCCGCGTGGACGTACACCTTAGGCGATGCTTAAGAAAACTCAAGTTTTCGGGCAGAGTCTCGATAATTCTTAACGTTTCAATGTAAATCTTAAGATTTTAATGGAAACGTTGGGTTTTTATGGAATTTCTGAGACTATGAATTTCTTAACCCATGATTTCTTAAGCATTTCGCAGGGTGTACTGGTCTTCCCCAAGGATCCTTGGCCGAGCATCCCTGCCGCTGTGCCTCCGAGCCCCATGCTCCACCGGGGGCAGCTCAGTGCAGCCCCGGTCCAGATGGCACGGAGGACCGAGGCCTGCTGCTCCGCCGATCCGATGGAGGGCGAGGGGGAGGGCTGCCACCGGTTTTTTTTGGATTCGGCCTACTTGCTGGTCCATCGGCGAGAGGCGTGCAAGGACAGCGAAGGGGAGGGGGAGGAGGAGGATGAGAAGGAGGGGGAGGAAGATGGCGAGGAACGGGAGCAGGAGCAGGAATACGAAGAAGAGGAGGAGGGGGAGGAGGACTGGGAGTCGGGGGAGAGGGACAGAGGGGTGATGCGGCGGAGCGCGCTCAGGCAGAGCTCGAGCAGAAGAGGATCATCGCCCAGCAGCTCGAGTCGGACGTGCTCGCGTTCGAGCGCGAGATGCAAAGCAAGTCCGCCGTCCCGCGGAGTGCTTTGCCCCCCCCCCTCGGACCCCCCCCTCGGAATGACGATGGTGCTGGCGGCGATAATGACGGTGACGATGACGCAGAAGTTGTTGATGACGAGGTTATTGAAGTTGTTGAAGATGATTCTGATCGTGATAATCATGATGGCGATGTCGATGACGACGATGATGCTGCTGCTGCTAATGATGATGATGATGATGATGATGATGATGATGATGATGATGATGATGATGATGATGATGATGATGATGATGATGATGATGATGATGATGATGATGATGATGATGATGATGATGATGATGATGATGATGATGATGATGATGATGATGATGATGATGATGATGATGATGATGATGATGATGATGATGATGATGATGATGATGATGCGCGGTCTTCTTCTGCTTCATCGAAGGATGCGCCGTGTCAGGGCATCAGCACTAATGACGTTGGTGATACATATGGAGGCTGCGATGGTTATGTCCATAGTGGTAACGACGATGGCGATGTTGCGATGCACAGATCGACGTGGTCGCCGATGCTGGTGCTTGTAGTACGTCGTCGTTGTTAACGGTGGTGTCGTTGATGATGACTACGACTATGGTCATGGCGACGAGCAGACGAGCAGGGTGGTTATCACGATTATGCTAATGCCGCGATGTGGCCGTTGACGTCGATGTGGTTTGGGTTTATGAAAACGTTTTCACCTCATCATCATCATCGTCATCGTCATCGTCATCGTCATCGTCATCGTCATCGTCGTTATCGTCATCAGCATCGTTGTCATCATCATCGTCATCATCATCATCATCGTCATCATCATCATCGTCATCATCATCATCGTCATCATCATCATCACCATCATCTGTTGACGTTTGCGGGGTTGATGGAATTGTCGATGACGATTATGGGTATTCTTGTCATGGCAATGATGAGGATGGCGATTACGATGAAAACAGTGGACGGCGATGACGTTGCCATTGCAATGTGATTACCTCGGTATTGGCGCGAGGTTCTCCAGGTGCTTTCTTGGGCAGGAAATCCGGTGGAGTCCATGTGTCATGAACGTATGTGTCCTGCGGGGCATTGGGAAGTGAAGAATAGGAAGAGGAGAAGACGGAGGAGAAGCAGGAGGGAGGCCTGGTGGCGCCTGAGTAGTAGCAAGAACACCACCCCAGGAGATGGGGGAAGCATAGGAGGCCTTGGGTGATTTGGGAGGAGCAGGGCTTTTGGAAGGGCCCAGGGCTGCGACACCCCGAGCTGGCAAGCACCGCTTCGCAGGCAAAACAGCGAGCGGCGGTCGGCGGCCGTCGTGCGGCCCCATGCCGCCATCGTGCCGCGGTCGTGGGCAAAGGAGGCCTCCCGGCAGCATTTTTTGGGGCTCCGTGGGCGGACTCCTGGAAGCCTCCCGGGGGGCACTCGGGGGCGTCGTGGAGGCTCCCTTCGCGGGCGATGTTTCTCCCCCAATCCCCGAGTTTCGCCCGAAAAGTCTGGCCGCTCAGAAGAATGGGAAAACCCTGGGATACACCCCAAGGGGGCTATTCGGACGCACCCCTATCGAGAATGGACACCCCCCCATCGTATATCTCAGGGTTAGGCCCCAAATTTCTGGTCCATTCGGAAACCCCACGAAGCCTGGGATAGGGGTCGACATATCCCCTGTTACTGGGGGCTTGTTTTGGGGTCCCTGGGAGCACCTTTGGGGCCCTCCCGGGGGACCTCGCTGAGGCCTGCTGGCGGTCTCGGGGGCCACCCTGGAGGAAGCCGCTCGAAGTGTCAGTTCGTGCTCCCTCTCTGGAGCCCCTCCTGGGTTCGTCTTGGGGGCCTCCTGCGTCCTCCTGGGGACCTTGTGGTCCGTCTTAGGGCGATCTTGGGGACCTCTTCGGCAGTTGTAGACGCTCTCCATTCCGAAGAGGCGAACACGTTCTACAAAATTACTCACAGCCTCATTGTTCTTGATCGATTTTGGCGTCTAGGGCTGGCCCCAGGGCCTGCAAGACGGCCGAAAAAGGGCCCCCAAGAGCGCTTTGGGGCACACAGGCAGTGCGCACCCTCACCCGCGCTTCCCGGGCCTCCAGAAGGGAAGTCACGCGACATGTCCCGGGAGCGCCCACGAACGCCCGGCCAGCGCCCAGAAATCGGGGTCCCCAGCCCTTTAAACAGCATGTCCACTATTCATCGTCCTCCTCCTCCTCGCTCCTTCTCCCTATGAGTTTTTTCCCAACCATCCTGTCGTGTGGGGCTCACGTCCTCACCTTCTGCCTATCAGAGCGGACGCGAGGCAGAGCCCCGCGTCTTTCCTTCTTCCTCCCCCCCCGCCCTCACTGGTTGCGCATCCCCCCGGGCTGACGAGGTCGTGCACCTTACTTCCGAGGAGAGCCGAATCGAACCGAACCTCCCCCCGCTCCTCCAATCCCTCCTTCTGCCCTCCGCATGTTGAACTTTTCGGCGCTTCCATCGCACGTTCGTGCTGCCACAGGGAGCTCCACCGAAGGCCCCAGCGGCAGGGTCCGCATCGCGTGCCCGCACCCGACTCGGCACACCTCTCGGCCTTCTCGTGGCCCCAAAAAAGGGGGGTCAACCGAAGGCTCCGCTCGCAGGGTCCGCATGGCGCACCCGCACCCGATTCTGCAGACCCCTCTCACGTTGTGGTCCCTTAGGAGCTCCGCCGAAAGCCCCAGCGGCAGGGTCCGCATGGCGCACCCGCACCCGATTTCCCGATTTGGTGTACCCCTCATATGTTTTGTGGTCCCATAGGGAGCTCCACCGAAGGCCCCAGCGTCATGGTCCGCATGGCGTGCCCGCGCCCGATTCAGCGCAACCCTCACATGGTCCGTGGCCCCACAGGGATCTCAACCGAAGGCCCCAGTGGCAGGGTCCGCATGGCGTACCCACACCCCTCACATGCTTCGCGGCCCCGTAGCGAGTTCCTGCTCGCGGTGGTCGCCCCGAAGGAGTTCCAGCGACGCGCGCGGGTCTTCCTGGGCGCGGGGTGAGAAACATCGGGTGGCTGACAAGGGGTTTGGCGCCATGCAGAGCGCGTGGTCGTCGGGCAGCACTTGGAGGCAGACCGCAGGGGAACCCCCGCGACGCGCGCAGGTCGCCCCGAGAGGATTCCAGCGACGCGCCCAGGTCGTCCGCGGCGCGAGGCCATACACTTGGGCAGCCGAGGGGAGCCGAGACTTGGGCGGGCCGTTCCTCAGCTCAGGCCCCGCGGATTCACCCGATGAAGCCAAACTTCTTGGCGAGGCCGTCGCCGAATAAAAAAGCCTCCCGCTCGCCCGTGCCCGTTTTTCCCACCGCCCTCGCCCCAATCTTCTTGCCAGACCACCACCTCCCTCCTATATGCTTCGCGATGTTCGCGGCTGCGTATGGTTGGGTCCTTCGCCAGGATCGTGTCTTAAGGAGTTGTTGTCGGCAGGTTTCAGCACGCTGGGAGCCAGCAGCCCCCGGGGGTGAAAAATCTCTGGGGCCGAAAGCAACCCGCGACCATAGGGCCCAGAACTCGCCAACCACAGATTTGTCGCAAATTGGCATGCATGGGACGCAATGGGGTAAATTACAAAATTTGTTCCTTCTCCTCATTCCTTCTCCTCGTGCTCGCCCTTCTCGTTCTCTTTCTCCTCGTCACTGTGCCCGCCACCGCTCTCGTGAGCCTCCTGGCCCCCTCACCATCCGCCCAACGAGCCCGATGGGCGAGAGCGGCGCTTCCCGTTCTTGTGCGGTCAGGTTTTTGGAACGGGCAGTGCTCGGGGGCGGATGGGTGCATTCGGTCTGTGAGGCAGAGGAGCGTCCAGCTTCCTGCGGCAAGTGCAGCCGCCGTGCCAGCGCAGAGTCCCACGTGGCCGACGTTTCGGGTGCCGTCCGAAAGGTCGTGGCATGCGGCAGCGCCCATTTTTTTGTACAGGAACTGTCATGGGGGCTACCTGGACCGTCTTGGGGGTTATTGCGAAGGCCTTACGGCCGGTGCCGCCGACCCTGAATGGCGACGACGACGACGACGACGACGACGACGACGACGACGACGACGACGACGACGACGACGACGACGACGACGACGACGACGACGACGACGACGACGACGACGACGACGAGCCTCCTTGGGGGCCTCTTGGGGGTAGTTTGTGGGCCTTTTGGGAAGCTGTTAGGGGCCGCTTGGAAGCCTCGTTGGGGCCTCTTGTGGCTTCCTGGGGGTCTCTTGGAGGGAGCCTGGGACGTCTTGGAGGCTTCTTGGACGGTCTTGGGGCTATCTTGGGCGTTTTCGGCCGATCTTTGGGCGACTCGGGGCCCTCTTGGGCCGTCTCGGGGGCCATCTGGGGCATTCGGACCTCATTTGGAGTGTTTTCGAGGTTTCTAGGCCGCCCGAGGAAAAACTAATTTGCCCCCCCCCCCCCCCCCCCCCCCTCCCCCCGGGAACCCGCCCCGGGACCCCCCCCTGGATCCCCCCCCCGGGACCCCCCCCAGGACCCCCACCGGGAACCCCCGGGACCCCCCCGGGACCCCCCCCGGGAACCCCCTGGCCCCCCCCCCCGCCCCCAGGGAATGGATCAAAGGGAAAGGGCTTCCCTTCGATTCGATTACGACACTGCTCGATTTTTCTCTCGCTCACGAGCTTGAGAAGGAAGCTGAGGCCCAATACGGCCCAAGAGGGCCCCAAAACGGCTCCAACTGATCCATTTCAATCCCAATAGTTGCTCGACTGGTCCTTGAAACTGCTTAGGCAGGTCAAGGTGGTTCCAGAGGGCCCCAGACGAAGACGGTTCCCAGAAGGCCCCAGCAACGCCTTGCGCCAACCCGAACCCAGCACGGCCCAAAAGCAGCCCGAGGAGAGTCGTCTCTGTCACATGCGTCCCAACGGCTCTGGCATGGCAGGGCCCAGAAGGCCCAATGTGTGGTCCAAGGGACCCCAGGACTCCCCAGAACGGCGCCAACATGGAAATCACTTGCCCACGACGTGTTCTTCTTCTCATCGTTTCTGAATTTCTTGG